CGCGCAAATCATCCCAGACACGCCTCGCATTAAGATCACGGACCTGACCCAATAAAAGATGTGCAACATCAGGCCTAATTTTCAGCAGGTATTTGAAACTCCAGCTAGCATTTTAGGGGTTTCCATATGCCAAAAATCAGTATTCCTAATCACATAGGAGTGCATCCAAGCCACCCAGAGCGAGCCTTCATTAGCCAAAAGCTTCCTGATTAGCTGAACAATGCAAGACTTGTTCCATCTTCCTACATCTTGTAACCCTAATCCACTTTCATATCTCATTAAGAAAATTGTCTTCCAACTAACTTTTGCGTCTTTCGCAGGCACATCAGACCCCTTCCAAAAGAACCGAGAACATAACTGCTCGAATTTCCTAATAATTGCATGTGGCAGTATGAGTTTCCTGCACCAATAGTTCTAGATGCTAAGTAAAACAGAACGAATGAGTTGCACCCTTCCAGCAAAGCTAAGATGCTTATTAGCCCATAAACTCATCTTTGCCCTAAGTTTTTCTGTGAGAGTTTGATAGTCCTTTACAACCAATTTTCTGGTAACCAGTGGAACTGCCAGGAATCTGACTGGGAGGCTACCCAAATTGAAGACAGTGATTTCCTTGATGATGTTGCTCTGCTCAACAGGAATACCAGCAGCATACATCTCATACTTGTTGGCATTCAACTTCAACCCTGACATAGAGTAGAAGTGATCCAGGACAGCCTGCACTCCCATAACAGAATCTATGGAACCATTGCAGAAAATGAGCAGGTTATCCTCAAATCAAAGATGGGTGAGACCAATCCTCTTGCATTTAGGATGATAACCAAAGACCCCTTTTGAAGTAACCATATTCAGGAAGTTAGACAGTACATTCATGGCAAGAACAAAAATGTAAGGTAATAGGGGATCACCTTGCCTCACACCTCTAGTACCTCTGAAGTATCCAACAAGACTACCATTGAAAGTAATAGAGTACCTAGGATTTGCAAAGCAGGCCCATGTCCAACCAATGAACTTTTCAGGTAGCCCAGAGCATGCAAGATCACATCTATAAACTCTCAATTTAAGGAGTCAAAAGCATTCTGTAAATATATCTTAAGAGCAAATCTAGGGGATATATTCTTCCTTGAGTAACCTCTAACAAGTTCCTAAGCTAGTAAGGTATTGTCCACTATGCATCTCCCTTTCACAAATGTAGTTTGGTTCATAGATATCATATCAGGAAAGACAGAAGAAAGTCGATCCACTAAAATTCTAGTGACAGTTTTGTAAACAACAGAGCAGTATGAGATGGGTCTAAAATCTTTTACTAATCTTGGATTGGGGATTTTAGGAACAATCACAGCAGTCATTGCATTGAATGAAGAAATCATAAAAGAGTGATCAAAATAGTACCTGATTACTGCCAAAAAGTCCTCTCCTACTACAGAAAGCTCTCTTGAAAAAGAAAGTATTATAGTCATCTGGACCAGGGAACTTGTTATTCCCTTGTCCCCACAAGGCCTCCTTAATTTCAGCATCAGTGACATCCTTGCATCAGATGTCTGCTGCATCACTTGACAATAAATATCCAAGCAAATCCTTGATGGTGCTGACATTACTACCTTTTACCTCAGAGTCAACCACCCCAGCTGATTCACAAAGAATTTAATCACTTCATTTGACATGTCTTCGAAAGTATCAAGTCTTTCACCACTTTGGTTATATAAGACTCTAATTATGCTGCTTTTCCTTTTATTTGCAACCATAGAGTTAAAGAAACGAGTGCCTTGGTCATCATCCTTAATCCAGTCAACTTTAGTTTTTTGCTTGTAGAATAGCATCTCAGCCTCCTCAAGGGTTTTTAACTCCTTTTCAGCTTCCAATTCAGCATTAATATTCCTTCCAGCAATAGTTAGATCAAGATTGACAATCTACAAATTCTTCAATTTGTAGGAAATGCTTTAATCCAGTTTGGGTTGACAAGAACCTGGTCTTACTTGCATGCTAGAAATGTATCTTGTTGTTTATTCGTCCATGTAAACAAAGGACCTGTGTAAGGGTGGTCAAACAGCCCCAATTCCTCCACACAGCTCTGAAATTCAGAAATGTCAGCCAAGGTGCCAGAATTAACTTGAGTAGAGATTTCCTCAACTTTTAAGATAACATTAAAATCATCACTATTATCCAAGCCCTATTTCCCATAGAAACTTCCATAGAGCTAAGCCGAGTCCAAAGTTGTCTGCGAGTGGAGCTATTATTCGAACCATACACTGCAATAATAAAGAATTCAGTTCCCCCAAAATGACTCTTAAGAGTAATACTTTGATCAGATGTAGAACTAATAGAGCAGTCTACATTATTTTTCCAAAAGACCCAGATGCGGCCATTTTCAGCATGATTGTAGTTACAACAATACTGCGAGTCACCAAACTTTTTAGACATGATATCTATGGATTTAATTTCCTTCACTCTAGTTTCTAGGAGACATAGGATACTAATATGACTTCTAATAGCCCAATTCAGTACCTTACCTTATTTGAGGGGACTATTAAATCCCTTTATGTTCCAAAAACATATTAGCATGATACAATAGTAGAGGAAGAAACACCACCTCTTTCCCCAATTCTTTTGACTTTATCGACATGCTCTTTTTTCTTTAATTTCAGATCCTGTACTAGCTTTGCCACACCCAAAGAAGCACCTCTCTGCTTTTTCCAGAATAAGTAGCAGAGATTTCCAATAAAATGTCAGGGTCAATAGCATTAAGGATTTCAAATTTATTCCTTGAACCCCTCCAAAAACCCTACCCATCTGATACTGAGTTGGCAGCAGAATTATTTTCAACAGAAGCACCATTAACTTTAACCTTTTCATTTTGCATAATCTCATGAACAAGGTTTTCTTTGCCAGATTTAGTCCCATCTAGAGTTGTGCTAGAGGTTGTGGCCATAACACAGCCTGTAGTCTCCCCACTATCAGAAGGAACATCATGCTTAGCATCCTGCACAGGCCCTTTGACTCTCCAGACTTGCTCGATTGTTTTTCCTCGAGGGCAAAATCTCACTGAATGCCCAAATTGCCCACAATCAGTACAAGAACTTGGCATCCAAGGAACTGAGACCCTAATTCTTACCACTGATTCATCAATCAGGATAACATCAATATGATCCTGAATTAAAGACCCAATAGGAATCTCAACACATACTCGAGCATATTCAAGTCTTTCCCTAGCAGCTGTAACTGAATCCATATGGAGAGGCTTCCCTACATCACTTGCAATATAGTTAAGCTCCCTCTTAGAGAATAGTTCCAAAGGAACATTGAATAAGTGAATCCAAATAGGTATTCGATACAAATCAAACTGCAATTCTTTCAGAATAGGTTCCCATTTTCTAATTCTAAGGAAGATGGTTTATGTTGTCCATGCCATGGACCGTTTTCTAAAACCTAGTCCCTCGCAATCGAATTAACGAATGAAAAACCAAATAGGTTTGGCCCAACAAGACTTACCTTGATCGAAGCAGCCTTACCCCATAACAGTGTAACAACCTTCTGGATAGAGCTAAAGTTTGGAGTCGAACCTATAAATTGCCCAACTAATGCGTGTTTCTAGTCCAAAATCCCTTCCTCAAACACATCTTTCAGCGACTTCACTACATAAGAGCCCTCAATCACTGTAGGTGGAAAGAATTCCAATTCCTTATTAATCCTCGCCGCAAAAAGTTTTCGCTAGTCAGCAAGAGCTTCGCCAGTCATAGCCGAACAAAACCCCTAATAACAATCACAGAATCAGTGGAGAAAATCACACAAGCAAAGGAAATTTGCTTCGTCTTCACCCACTGTTAGACCAGCTAACATGCACCAAGTTAATTATATTTAAAATATATATGAATTTAAATTTTAAGAGGCTTTTCAATTTATGGTTCCATTTCGGTTCAGTTTAAATAAATAAATAATTTGGTTCAATTTTTTTGTATGGAAATTGTTTGAACCAAAAATCAAACAAAATTAAAAAAATAAATATCAAAAGCAAATTCATTTTGAATTTAAATTTAAATTTATATAGTTTCACTAGATTTAAGCTTTAAGTTTGTCTTTTTTTTTAAGTTGAGTTTGAAAAATAATGAACAGTCAAAACCCGAAAAACCTAATTAAACTAAAAATTATGACTTTTATGTCATCCTATTTCAATTTGGATTTCAATTTTAAAACCCACAAAAGTACGATTCAATTCATGTTTTAGTGACTAACCAAATTGAACTTAGCCGAATGCTCCCCTGCCCAACTCTTATGATAAGACATTATTAAGCTTAATAGCCAAACATACTAAACATTAACATGAACAACAAAAATTGTGTTTTCTCACTTTTTCTCTCTTCATACATGCATATATATGTATGTACCATCGTCTATCATTAATAAAAGATAAATCTAGGATTTTATATAAAAAATGAATTTAATTTTTTTTAAAAATAAAAATAAATTAACATAAAATATAAAAAAAAATTTAAACGAAATTATTAACTCTCTTTACTCTCTCGATCCATCTCTAATCAAGACCCCAAAGAATTAAAATTTCCTATCCAATATGAAATTGCCAAGAATAAAAAGGAATTAATGCAGAGAAAAGAAGCATATATATATATATATGATTATGTTAAAACTGTTCTTTGTTGCGGCGTTGAATAAAAAGAACCCATACCCTAAATCACTCTCTATGTCTGTTTCACGCGGACAACGTGTAGATTTAGGCACACGTGAATGTATCTACAGAGATGTTCATCGTGTGCAGATACAATATTGGCCAAATCCAAAACAATAATCTTCACACATATGAAAGTTTCTGAAACTGGAAACACACAGTAGGTTGCCACAGTAACATGCTCTTGTAGCTTAACGAATCGACAGAGAATATCTTGAAAACTTTTGAAGAGATTAATGAAGAATTCGTAAATCATTTTCTGTACATATAAAATCCAAGATTTTTTTTCTTTTTTGAAAAAAGGAAGAAGAACTAGGGAAAGATTTGTGTGCTAGCAATTATATATAATCGCCTCAATTTGTAGAACAAAGATTGTATTTTTATGCTTTAAATCTAAGTACTGAATTATTACAGACGTAGATCCAAACTCACATGATCTTGAAATCTCGGCTTCGGCTCATAAACGTACCGGTCCTGGGAAGTTGAACCGACGCCACCGGCAACAACCTGCGACGGTGTCTTCAATACACCACCGGAAATCAAAGGCAACGGATGCGATGCTGATGAGAGTTCCCTACTGAAATTAGAGGGGTTGTTTTGAAGCGTGGAAGGAATCCTCCACAGTCCCAGTGGGCTGCCATTGATGGTCGGGGTTTGGTTGCCATAAAACCTAGTGTTCCATGAAGGGTAACTCAAAGCTGGCCTGTAATTAACGAGTCCATAATGATGGGTGTCGGACAAAGAGCTGTGCACCATTGCCGAGTGAAGGTGAGCTGCTTTGGCGTGTTGGCGCTCCCTTTTGTGTGCGTTCTGGTGACCGCCTAAAGCTTGAGAGGTCGGAAAGTTTCTGCAACAGTAATGGCACTCGAATCTTCTGTTGTTTTCTCCATTATTCTCCTTGGATGTATCCTCCACGGCCGAGTCCAACTCACCACCGCTGCTGCTGAATTCCTTTCCGAACAAACGAATACCCTTGTCTTTAAGAGGCGAGGGACGGATAAATGGGAGTTGAGAGAAGGATTGTACGTTCATGAAGTCGTGAGTTTCCCTTTGGTCCTCCATGAGAAAGATGGGAAGGAAGAAGAAGAGGTGGGTTTGTTTTTGGTTGGGAGAGGGTGAGAAGGAGGGGCTAAATGGACAAGAAGATTGGAGCCATGGCGCATTGGATGAGGGTGGGTTTGGCACTTTGGGTAGTCCCTTGGCCTTCTTCCACTTGATTTTTTGAAACTTCTGCCACACTTCCTATGACTTTTAATATTTATAGATATATTTGATATACCTATGATTATTTAGGCTTAAGTATCTACCATCTCTTACCAAAAATAATAACTATACTTAATGAATTAATAGTAAAATTGAGGGAAATGAATGTTAGTAGAAGTTAGAGATTTAGGGATTTAATTAAGAAAATGGGGATAATTTTACGGCTGAAATCAATTTTGACAAAATTGTCAATAATTATCGGCGATTTTATTTCAATTTTTTTTATTTAAGATTAAATTAAAAAGGAATGAAAAGTACAAAGATTAAAATAAAATTTTATAAAAGATTAGGAATGAAAAGTACAAAGATTAAAATAAAATTTTATAAAAGATTACTATAAATATAAGATGAAATGGTAAATTTAGGAAAAACCCCCAAAAATTATTTGATATTAATTTATGAAAAGTCGTTTGTAATAGTCGATGGCTTTTTTAAAATTGTCTTTATTTGTCGGTGGTTTTATTAAAACCATCTGATAAATGCTTATAATTTAAAATTTAAAATTATAGATATTAAAACTTTAATTTTTAAGATTAAAATAAATAAGTTGTGTGAAATAATTTATGCAGGTATATCAAATAATAATTCATATTAAATTAAAAGTGTTAAATTTTATGTAATATATTTGAGATACCTCTGATTATTAAGGCTTAAGCATCCACCATCTCTTACTAAAAATAATAACTGTAAATTCTTTTATTTTTAATACAATAATTTTATATATTTAATTCATTGTTTTTTTAGGAAAAGAGGAATTACAACTTAAGTACAATCAAGGAGAACTACGATTCCTCATACAACAAGACAACCCTCTAGCATCCATCAAGAACAAGCTTTGAATCTCCACTCGAGTACGCGAAAAAAATTTGTTTCATGATTAAAGAAATGAAAGATTTATATTTTAAAGTTAAATTAATAATTAATTACTTTTATATTTTAGATTAGTTTTAAATTGTTTTATTATTATTTTTACTTTATTTTATCCCTTATGCTATTATTCTATTTATAGCTTTTTAGTTTAAAATATAAAAAAAAATTAAGATTGATATTTGTTATTACTTATTGAACTATTAAAGCTTCAAATATTTTAATTCTTTAAATTTTGTTTAAAAATTATAATTTCATTTAAAACTTAAAACGTAGCCTCATTTTTGCTGCAAGTTCTACATCAACCTTAAAAGTTGTCGTTTTTTATACATTATATTTATAGATATACATTATTATGCAGAGCAAACAACATGCAATTTTCATCTATCCATTTAAATAATTAATGAATTAAGTGAAGATTAATTTTATTGAGCGGGGTAGAACTAGAGTTGATAAATTTGTTCTAAATTTGATCGATTTATTTGATTTAAGATTTGATATAAAAGGAATATAATTGCTTATACTAATTCAAAACCCAAAATAAATCAAATTGAATTAAAATTGACTCAAATTTTAATTAGAACGATATGAACCCTTATCCAATTAATATTTATCGAAGTATAATATCATTTATAAAATTATTTAAATTAGAATAAATATAATTATTGTATTATTCATTTTAAAATTGAATAAACTTGTTATATTTATAATTAAATATTAAAGATTTAGTAAAATCAATTATTTGAGAATAAAATCTATAATAAAAAAATTATTTCTCTACCAAATAGGTCGCATTGCATGCTTTTTGAGTCGGATCAATACAAAATTCATATTACAAATTCTAACACGTCTTATAAAAACATGTCCGATTTAAATTATTATCCTTAAATGATGGTTGAATTCGAAACATTTAGCTGTTGAAAGTTGAAATTAAGCCTACATGATAAGATTAATGACAAAAAGACACGTTTTTAAGAAGAATATATCAATAATTGTATATATACTCAATTAGATTCATACCCGACTCAAATTGTATTAACCTGAAGATCCAAATGTTGACTCAAACTAAAAATTGATCAATTCGATATTGACCCCGCCCTAAAATCAACTGACACAACTAAAAAATAACTAATCCGATGTTGACCCAACTTTATTCTAGTGGTGATATATACATGATATATGATTTTATTTTTTGAATAGTTGGGTGATTACAACGTAATATCTGTAGATCTGGCAAATTTGATCTGATACCTGACTCATATCCGATCTGAACCATACCTGACCCAAAATTTAGCGAAACTGAAAGTAACTCGAACCGAAACCGAAATTATCCCGAACCGAAAGCAACTGGAACCGAATTTTAACCTGATATGAAAGCAACCCAAATCGAATTTAACCTGATCTGAAAGCAACCCGAACATAAATTAATCTGAACCGAATAATAAATTAATTTAAATAAAATTGATAATTTATTAAAAAAATTAGATTTATAATAAAAATAATAGAAAATTTACTTATGATATTACCTAATAGGAATATAAAAGTAAGAATCTAATTGTAAGATTGAAAACAAAAATAAATAAAGTTTACCTATCTTACTTGAAATAAAAATATTAGATTTATAATAAAAATAATAGAAAACAATTAAAACAAAGGAAATAATATTAAATTTATAATAAAAACTAATATAAAGTTTAGTTATGACAACTAAAACTTAACAAATAAAGTTATGTATTATTTTTAAAAATAAAAAAATAAATTTATAATTGGAAATAAAATTTTAAAAAATAATTTCTTTATCAAATAGTTCTCATTATAAACTTTTCATACAATATCAATATAAAATTTTGATAACAAAATTCTAATACGCATTATAGGATGCTATTTTGTGTCAAATTATCGATTTATCATCTTTAAATGTTGGTTTAATTCAAAATATTGAACGATTGAGAATTGAAATTAGGCCTAAAGTATAAGATTAGCGAACAAAAAGACATTTTTTTACAAGAATATATCAATAATTCTATAAATACATGATTAGACTCATAATCAATTCAACCCGAATTGACCTGATCTAAAGGTTGACCTAAACCGAAAATCAAACGATCCGATATTAACCTGACCCAAAAATCAACTGATCCGATATTGATCTGAACTGAAAAATAACCGATCCGATAATCGCCCAACCCAAACATTGATCTGACCCGATACTCGACCCGATCCGATTTATTGTACACCCAAATTAGATCCGAATCAGATTCGATCCGACCCGAATAAAATTAAACCGAATATAATCTAGACCCGAAATAACCTGACCCATAATGATCCGACCCAAACCCTATGCGAATGAACCTTTTGCCACTTATAAATATCTGTTAAGATTTTTTTTTAACTATTGACAATGCGCGCACACACTTTGTCTATGCAACTACTCGAACCCAAGTATGTTAAGGAGAACACTCTCTCCCTTTCGTAGTTCAGTATATGAGTTTATCTAAACAAAGAATAAGACATACTAAAATGAGATAAAAATATTTAAAATATACAAAAAGAAGGAAACTCGGTGATATCCCAAAAGGATATATATCCCATTGCTGTCAATTAACAAAAGTGGGCATGATTCATTCTTCAAGATCCATGGATCTAATATAAACACATGTTCCCTTCATTTCCTTAGTGATGTTAACATGAGAAATTAGTTATCAATTCCCAAATGGACAGCTTAATTATTGGAGAGGCATTTTTGTGGAATGTTTTCTCTTTCTCTTGTGGATTGTTTTAAGTTTTGAATTATTCCCCAGATTGGTTCTCACCAGCCGGGGCCCCCCCCCCCGCTTGTGTCGCCAGTTCTAATTAAATTACACGTTTATCGTATTATTTGCAAAATAATATTCAGAGAAAATACCAAATATAATATAATTATCTCATACTAATAAAAACCCCCATAAAATATTCTAAAATTCAAAATTTAATTATTGAAAATAAATTTTAAAATTATAATTGTAGACACTCATTTTCGTTCATATTTATTTATTTATTTGTTTGTTTTTTTATTTATATATTATATAATTTTGAAAACATTTTGAAAATATATGATATATAATTTTTAAAACATTTTAAAAACATTTATATATTATATAGTTTTAAAACGTTTTTGAAAAGAAATATAATATATAGTTTTCAAAACATTTTTGAAAATATACATATTATATAGTTTTTAAAACGTTTTGAAAATAAATATATAATATATAATTTTTTGAAAAACATTTTGAAAGCATATATAATATGTAATTTTTAAAACATTTTTAAAAATTATATGGTTTTTAAAAAAAAACACTTTTGAAAATTATATAGTTTTTTAAAATATTTTTTTAAATTTATATATAATATATAGTTTTTAAAAGAAACAGTTTTAAAAATGTATATTATATAATTTTTATATTTATTATTATTATTATTATTTATTTATTATTTTTTATTACTTATTTTATTTTATTTTTTCCCGTTTCAGGTCCAAATGGGTCAACTGTCCAGTCCAACAAGTCACGGTCAGGGTCCAAACACAGATGGGCCTGATCCAGCCTGGTAAGTTTAGGGTTTGGAAACCCTGAATGATATCAGTTTCAACGGCGCCACAAAACCAGGGAGATGAACGGTCAACAGTGCCAACGACCAGCCGAAATCCCCGGGACTGACCCATCCCGGGGTGACCGGCCACAACGGCCACGAGCACCCTTATTTCGGAACCGACAGGCCTCCGATGGGGGTATAAATACCCCGGTGAGGCCATGCAAAAAGGGGGTAGCATCGAGAAGAGAAAAACACAGAAACCCACGGCGAGGGATCGACACCAAACGTCAACCACACACAGAACCACAGTACATCGAGAGCCATAACCAAACACAAGTCCAAACGAAACACAACCAGAACGCAAAATAAACCAAAACGGAGAACAAAAAAACCCACGACGAACACTAAAGTACACAGAGAGAACAAACCGAGGCCAACATCGCACCAAACACCATCAACACAACAACACCAAGTATCAACAGTAAACGAGAACACAAGAACAAGGCGAAAACA